ACCCCCCCCCCCCCCACACACACACACACACACACACACACACACAACACCCCCCCCACACACACACACACACACACACACACACTCCAAGGTTCTGCACTGATCTTTGGCCAAAAATAACGGGAAATGCTAAAAAAAAATAAAAACTACGTAAAGACATGCCAATTACTCAGTCTGGTTGTAAATAAGCAAATAAGTAAAGTTCAAAGCAACATGACGCGTTTATAAAAACCCTTCAAAGCTGAGAAAACTCTACCGGACTCTGTTCAGACCGTTCAAGGTGATAAAGTCTCTAACTGTGCAGGAATGTTTGTCCTGGTGAACTCCTTGCTGTGCTCAGACTCTATCCGTCTCCCCTGACAACGAGCAAAAATAGACCCAGAGGCCACATGACCACACGGTTGCCACAGCAATCCCAGGCTGTTGTCGTGGCAATCCTGCCGCGATCCCTGGATATGGGCAAAGCAGGAAATGATTTATGACCCGGTGGTCTCTTTGGACTTCAAGCACCTTAATTAACACACATACAGTGACACACACACACAACTAAAAGCATGCAGACTCAGCAAGCACACTGAAGAGCTTCTCACTGTCTCGATTCCATACATGACCCACTGACAATCAATACCAGACGCATGGAGTGAGGTTTGTACAGGAAACATATCTGCTGATCTTTCAGAAGTTAAGTTAATTTAAACTGGTTGCTGATTCCATCAAAATTCCCATAATCATGGCTCTTACAGGTGAAAGCTCATTTTTGTTGATGCAGTAAATGCAAATGAATGACCTGCCGGGCTGAAAAAACATTAACCTTCAACCTGTCAGGTAGGATTTCTGCACAAACTCAAACCAAATCCTGTTAGGAGGGGCTCTGCTTGCTAAACTGCCCAGGGATAAGAGTGTTTGGTTACCTCCAGCCAGCCTTAGGAAAGTTTATTTGTGAGTGTGTGTTTTGGTGTCTACCTTAAAGACGAGAAGGATGAAGAGCAGCATCAGGACGATTTGAACGCTGATGACAAGCAGCTGAGAGAAGAGGTGAGCCAGCATAGTCTCCATGGAGCTCACACCTGAGAAGAAAGAAAAAAAATGTGGTCAGTAGTTTTATTTCAAATCAACACACATAAAAACACACACCAAGTAACGTAGATTATAATTTAAAATGTACTGAAAAGATCCAGAGTGTAGGGATGTATTGACATCTTGCAGCATAAACTGCAAAGTTCACTTCTCCCTCAGTACCATACAGAAAATAAACATTTAAATCCGAGTCAGTGATGTTTTTGTTTTGGTCCTATCTAGGCTACTGTAGAACCAGTTCACTATTTTCACATCAACTATTTGCGTGTTTCTCATAATGAGCTCAAGTAACGTGTCAGCTGAAGCAATTTAGGGTTTTTTGTCCATTGAAAATACAGAAAATGAGTTTAGTCATGTAAAATTTACCCAGAAATTAAAACTTTGTATACAAACTAGTTTGCTTATCATTTTGCTTCATTTACAAACCCCATAACAAAGAACCAACAAGAAATGTATCAAAATTACTGATAAGCAAATGACTAAGATGCTATAAAGATGTTAAAAGGGAAAAATAGTGTAATATAAAAGGAAAAAAAAAACCTGTTGTTCAAAAAATAAAAACAGGACAGCTTGTCAATGTTTGCTAAAATAATTGTTTTCTGGATCTTCAGTGATCTTGTTGCTCTCTCTAGTGGCCATGCACTTAATTACGCATATTTAATAACCATCCTCTTCAACAAGTCTCACATACTAACTACAACCCCATCCACTCAGGGATTTGTTTGCTTGTCTCATATTTGTTTATGGGTGGCTGTGGCTGAGTGGTTAGAGCAGTCGTCCTCCAATGCGAGAGTTGGGGGTTCGAATCCACCAGCAGTCACATGCCGAAGTGTCCCTGGGCAAGACACTGAACCCCTCATTGTCTCTGATGTGTGTCCCATCAGTGTATGAATGTGATAAAGCACTCTTGAATGATTTGTTCAATTAGTTTTGTATAGATCTAGTAGAGTGCTGTATGAATGGGTAAATGAGGCACAGATTGTTGAGTAAAGATCTTTGAGTGTCTTGAAATAAGATAGAAAGGTGCTATACAGTCCATTTACCATTCACATAAAATCCATCCATCCAACCATTATCTTTACTTGCATCTTCCTTTTCAGGTCGCGGGGGTCATTGGTGCCCACATCCAGCTATCACTGTGTGAGAGGCGGAGTACACCCTGGACAGGTCTCCAGTCCATCACAGGGACACAAAGACAAACAACCATTCACTCTCGCTCTCACACCTAGGGACATATTAGAGTTACCAATCAGCCTAACATGCATGTTTTTGGTCTGTGGGAGGAAACCTGAGTACCTGGAGAAAACCCACGCATGCACAAAAAGAACATGCAAACTCCACCCAGAAAGGCCTTCAGGTTGGATTTGATCCTGTGACCTCGCTGAGAGGCAACAGCTCTAACAACTGAGCCACTGCTACCCCTCACATACAAATCACCTGTTAATCTGAAAGGTTAATATGAAAATAGATTTCTAACAAATTAATTAAAACTTGTTCACCAGACATTGTTTTTTTCGCAAGCTATTTAACGAGCATGTACCTGTGAGCATGTGTGTGCGTGCATGTTTGTCTGCCTGTTCACAAAACATCTCATGAACCACTGAACAAATTTCACTGAAACTCCTAGAAAGTAAGAAGTGGATTTGCATCTTCAAATGGCTTCCTTTTGGAACAAACCAGATTCAAAATGGCTGTCAAAGCTAATCAACCTTAGCAATTCCTATAAATTCACCAATTCTACAGATATTTAGCTAAATTTTGGTGTGGTAGTACCCGACAGTCATCCCCAATACATATGTACTGTATACTAACAGATCAATCCAATCTGTGATAGAAACTAACGTGCAAGGCAGCGTGGAATATGCATTCATTCATTCAACCTTTATTTAGACAGATAAGTCTCATTGAGCCTAGAAGACTCATTTACAAGTGAGATCTGTTTAGACAGACAAAAAAAGTATTGAAACTGGACACACATGTAGGAATTATGCATTTTTTGAAGGAATGATAGTTTTAATTTGTTGATGTTTTCCAGAATCTTGCATGAGTTGTGCCAAACTCTAAACAAAAGTGATATTTAGCAGTTGTTAGTTCTGTAGCTTCCCAGCGTTTTTTCACATTGGTGTGTGACGTAGTAAGTAGAGGCAGATCTTTCAGGCTCCTCTCTTGTGGAACCAACTTCCAGTTTCTGTCCGTGAGGCTGACACATTATCCAGTTTTAAGACTAGGCTTAAGACCTTCCTTTTTGATAAATCCTATAGCTAGGGTTGGCTTGTGTTTCCTGAGCTGTCCTTTAGTTATGCTGCTGTAGGCTTAGACTGCTGGAGGACAACATTTCCTGACTCTGCTGCTGTCTTTACTCTACCTGTTTGTATTTGTAATTACCATATTTCTATTCTGAACATGTGTTTTTGTCTTTCCTCTTATAGAAAGTACACCTGGACCAGCCATTCTGTGTTTGTCTCTCCTTCCTGTCCTCTCAAACCCAGCAGGTCGAAGCAGATGGCCGCTCGTCCTGAGCCTGGTTCAGCTGGAGGTTACTTCCTGGTAAAAGGGAGTTTTCCTTTCCACTGTTGCTTTTGTGCTTGCTCAGGATGGGAGACTGCGACAAAGTGATGATTCAACACACTCTGCTTGTTTCCTTAGATATATAACTTTTACTAAATGACTTTTTTAGTGGATTCAAGAATTGTTTTTATTGTCATACCAGATCACATTTGTATGTTTATGGTACGAAATTCTGACTCAGGTCCCATATCAAGTAAAACCCAACAATTTATAAATAAATCAATACAAAACAGTATACATGTATATATATATATATATATATATATATATATATATATATATATA